TGTGTTTTTCAAAAAATGTTTCTATAGCCTCAGTAGATAGGTTACCTATGCAGAAATTCAACTGGTCGGCTCCACCAACATCACTCATTAATGCTTTACTTGCTACTTCTGGATCATACAGTTGATAACCAGTTCCTTGGATATCAACAAGTAAACATTCACCTTGGCTCACTTGATAGGAGTAATGCATCAATGTTTCTGCTTTCTTGGTAATGTCATCATCACTACTTGAAGAAATCTTGCCATTATTGTTAATATACTTGGTAAAGCTTCCCTCCAGATACCTCTCAATTGTAACAAAGCATACATCACCATTGTCTTCCACTATTTTCCCAAAGAGCATACTGTCGTAAGTAAATGTCTCACTAAAAGTTTCCGGAACATTTCTTTGCATCTGAATAGCAATGTTTTGGGCCAGTGTATGCATCTGGACCTGCTTTCTTGCATGCTCTTCTTCTGTTAGGTTGACAGACTTCATGTCTTCCAGGGCATTTTCTTTATACTTCTTCAATACCCATTTGCCTGACAATTTTCCATCAATACTTTCACACTTGTAAGCCTTTCTGAAGCCCCCTTCAGCAAAACTCTCACTCTCCACAGACAGTGTCACGGTTTTTGCCACGGTCCACCCGTCCTTGACCGCAAATCCTTCAATTTGTACTTGGATTGTATCACGCTTTGCAGGCTGGATCAACTTTCCCATTTTTAACATTGTTGCCACTGACAAAGAAGGAGGAAAGGATTTCTGTGGTTTTGCAACACTGAATTTCGTTGGTTCAGAGCTTTGCTGTTTGGTATGGCTAGACTTACAACGTTTTGTTGGTGGAAGTTTGCACTTTAGTGGCATTGATTTCTCATCTTCTTCGTCTGAGCCACCTAAAACGTCATCGACACTATATTGTTTGTGGATGAATCGTACAAAAATTGTGCCATTAAAATTCTTGATCTCGTTTAGAGTTTCGATAGACGGTCCTCGCTCAGTCTCTAATATATCACAATCAAAACCCTTCATGTTGAAGCCAGCAATACAAGCCCTTCTCACAACATCAATAGTTTGTGGTGCACACATGTCGTCTTCAAGAACATCTACTCTTTTCAAAGGTCCCATCCGTGCATACTTCTGGGAAGATCCGGTGCTAATCGCTGAATTGTTAATTTTTCAGGTAACAGTCGGTCTTTTCCCTTGTTTCTTTCTGTTTTTCTAGTCCTTTTCGTTGCCATGATCTTCTGATATTTCTTAAACTCTTCTTCGTCCGCCATGCTTTCAGCTTCGACACGAACTGCTGTGGAGAGACTGGGAAGAGGCAGTGATAGCCAGCAAACACACATATTATGGTCAGCGGTCAATTACGTGAATGTCTCTTCTCGGACATGAAGTTTTTCAATTTTAATTTTAAAATTAAAACCAAATTAAAACCAAATGAATTGAAACGTTTTTAAATCATTAGAAACAAAATAAAAACAGTATTAGATAAATTTTAAAAATAAAAATAAATTAAATGCAAATTAAATGCAGAAGTAAAACAAAAAAAATTAAAAATGTTGATGTCTCTCCTCGGACACCATACATATGCAAATTAGGCAAATGCATTAATTAAGCCTGCAAATAGCTGATTTTTCGGGAAAATTGTAACTTTGCGTGAATAGTTAAGGGGCTTAAACTAAACCAAATTGTCTGAAATTTTGTACAGTAATTAAAATCCCGACAAATTTTCCATCTGTTAACTCAAAATATGATTGCAGCTTTTAAATTTTGTGCGCGAGCCCTTTTTAGTTTGTTGGAAAAGACACACCCCCCTGGTTCACAAAATTTGAGTTCGAGAAATTTTTCTCATTATTCTACATTATAAGTACCCAAAGAGGCTATATATATAAAAAACCGGATACAAACAGCTGTTTTGCGAAATTGAGAGCAATTTTAAATCTGTTCAGTTTTTTTTGATACACCCTGTAGAAGTATTTATGTTTTTTTTATGCAAGAGTTATATTTTGAGGCATTTATATAATTCGCTGCTGGGTTTTTTATAGATGAGCATCTGAAATTCCCAGCCAGTACTTTTCATGATTTTAATAAGGAGTAGATAGGGAAAAAGACAAACTTTTGCAAAATAAAATATTAAGTTAATTAACACTTTTAATAAAAGGAAATCAATAAAAGTGATCGCTTACCGTTATTCTACAATAATTTATTGAATAAAAGTCCCATGGGTATCCCTTTTTTTTTAAAAAAGCGATTTTTACCTTTCGAACGGCGTTTTTCCTATCTTTTGCTATGAAATTTCAGCGACGGCACAGGCGGGAAGATTTTGCGTGGCACGTGGAACACGTGACACAAAAATTCAGGTTATCGAGTTTCAGTTTCCTTTTTGTATATCTGTCCCCTGTGATTGTAATCTGGTCATCCTTCAATGCATAAAATTTAGGATGCATACTCTTTATTATAAACCATTTTCATCTAGACGATCGAGTGCTTATCCGAGTCGTACCCATGTTTTGAATTTTTCATCCAGGCAATATATTGACCATGGTTATATACCTCTATAACATATATGATAATTTTTGGACTGGAAAATATAAATGGTTGTCTTATAAATACAACTTTGTGAAATTTTTAGATGGAACAGTGTTTGGTCCAACCGGATATCAGGCCACAATTCCAAGGGAAGGAACTGTCACATTTGCAGTTGTTATAGTAATTGCTGAAACATTCGTGACCGATCTGCAGAACGATAGTAGTCCGGCTTTCAAAAATATGACAAGGAGATTCCTCGAATTCTTGATTCCATTATACCAAACCAGAACTGGTTTTCTTGGCATTATCTTTATTTCATATTCCCAGGGAAGTGTTGTTGCAAATACTGAATTATTATTTAATTCGAGCGAACCAATTCCGACTGTTGAGGAAGTTCGATCACCAATCGCTGAAGCAAGAGATAATGGATCTGCGCCGTTCACTATTGAAAGTATACAAGTCACGAAAAAGGGCGAGTCACAAGATGGATTCGAAGCTTGGAAGATTGGTGTCGCTGTTTGTTTGGCTTTCGTACTTCTTCTTCTTATTTTCATTTCAGCTGTGGTGAGTATTAGTTTTACCTTGATAAGGAATAAATTCATGCGACAGTAATAAATGCCGCGCTGCTTATAAGATCGCTTGATACCTTTTTGATAGTGTCGCCATCAGCCTATATGTCAACAGAAAGAAGACATAAAGGACAACACAACTGAAGAATAAATTTGTGTGGAAGGAGGAAAAAATACGGTTTCCTTTTGTTTCAGTTTGTGCAAACAAATCACAAAACATGACCATTTTAGGTTAATATTTCCTTTATATACAATTTTAGGGCATAGAAAAGGTGTAAAATTGTAATTGGTTGACACGCACTGAAAAGGATAAAATATCTTCCCATGATAAATCTATTGTCCAAACTATTTTCGTATCCCTCCACTTTTGATATTTCGAAAACGAATGCAAATTTATTATTTAGATACTCGACTTCTCCGAAGAGATTTACTTAACTTCAGCGAAACTCGTTTCGCAATGCACATTAGCCAATCAGGAAAAAGCAAAACAATTTTCTCACGCGCAGGGCCCATCAGAGAAATTTGGGGGCCTGGGGCAAATTTTTATTTCGGGGCCCATATATTTCTTAAAAATATCTTTCCGCCCTTTGTTTATTTTATAAATGGATTTTATGTTCGAGTGTTCTGTTTATTATATGGACTGAGGGACAAAAATACACACAAAGACGACATGTAAATAAGCACGCTTTGAAAGACCAGTATAAAAGCGATATTTTCCCCGAGCCGGCGGCGCGAAGCGCCGTGCGAGGGTACTAATTCCCCCCGGCTATTTACACCCGGGGAAACGAAAGCATTAGTAGAGTCTAAAGTTCATCAAATATCGCGGGCGTGGGTGACCAACGATGGGTGGTCATCCTCACTGATCTCAAAAATATGGCGGACTGTCATGGATAGCGAACATTGATTGGTCAAATTTATAATTTGTTGTTGTATGACAAATGACGACTTCAACTGACAGATACTTCATGAAAATAAATTGCTTTTTGCACTACAGTATTTTGTACGTTTGCAAAAAACTTTGACAGCTTTCAAAGCAATTTGTTCTATAAAAAGTTTAATAAAACAATTACGGTATCAAATTCCAATTGAAAAGATATGGACTACTGTATGGAGCCAAATGAAGAGCGGCAAGGAAACGACAAGAAAGCCGAACGTCTAGCGAAAAGGAGGGAGCTAGCGAAGACGACAACGTTTGCTCGAGGAGACTGCTGAGGA